AATTTTATAAACTTCATGAAGATGAATTCTTGAAAGAATTCATCTGCAACAGCTAAGGACGACTAAAGGGCAAGCTTGAGTTTGTAGTAGGCAGGGACTCCCAGGGTGGGAAGGTTAGGAGCTTGCGACTCCTGGCAAGAGGAGAATGGCTCCTCTTGTTCATGCAGGTATGAACTGAGGACACTCAGGTGCAACACTCTGAAAACAGTTAAGCAGAAACAAGCTCAGTCAGGAAAGGCGTCTGAGCCTGAAACACATCCCCTCATGAGGACAGAGTGAGTGATGGTGGCTGCAGACTCTGCTTTCGCTGACCACAGTCACTGTCTCAAAAGGTTTGCTGTTTGCCGGGACCCTTAGTCTGGGATGCCCTTAGACCATCACCTCCTGTCAGCCACGTGGGCACCAGTGACACAGCCAAAGGAGTGTCTCATGTGTGACCGCATCGCTCTGGAGTTCTAGCACAGGTGGTGTTTCCTTATATTCTTGCTGGTGAAGGAGTACATTTATCCTGTGGACTGACAGGTTCTATCAGACATAAAGAGAAATAAGGCTATATATAAATATGTATATGTATGTATATATATGTGTGTGTATATATATATATATATATAGGAAAGAAATTATATATGTATATATATAAATGGTGTTTCATATACTGGGTTTCTGATACGTGATTAGAGTGTAGAATCAGAAGCTGCTATGTGGTTCTAACAACATCAGACTTGGACATTTTATTTTCAGTTTGCACAACCCTTACCAAACCTTAACAAAAATCTGTAACATGTGGATGTTTCTGCATATTTCACAGTTCAAAACACACTGACTAAGCTACTCTATTCACAAGAATTGCTTACGTGTTCCCTACGTCCAGAGAAAAGACATGATCAAATAAATTAAACTAAGAATCCTTTACAATAAATAAAACAAACCATAGTTGGTTTTCTGTTTGGCTGGTTGGTTGTTTTTTTCTCTTATGCTCTTTGTCAGAAATTTATTTGTTCTAAAATGTAAGGGCCGGAAATAAGCTATTAAATGTTAAAATCAGTGTATTTGAAGCACAAATAGCTTGCCTGTCATATCATCATATTTGCTAGCTGATTGGACATAAAACTTCAGCCTCTTGACTTCACTACCTTGTTACATAGTTTTCTTTACTTTCAGTTCTGATAAGGCTTATTATTTACAAATCTCACTTTTGCTAGCAGAACAAGAGAAGCTCCTGTGATAGCAAGAAGTGTAAATGCTAAAATATTATATGAGTTCAGCAGTTATGTCTGCCTGTGCTAAATTTCTCTACCTTTTTGTTAAATATTTACTAGTGCTGACAATAATGATTTTGGTAAAATAAAGATATATTACTTGATGTGGTCTCTGTAGGGTTGTCTTTTTTCCCCACAGAGGATGGATGAATTTAAATTGGAGCATTTTCTTCTTGTACCCATGTGAAAAGTGGGTATATATTCGATATATAAATATTAATATGTAAATTTTTTTTAAATTGTGTAGTCTAATGTGTTCTATATTATATCTTTTATCTGAAAAGGTATAATCTCTTAATCTGGATAAATAAAGAAATAAATAAAACGCTGAAAGACATACCAGCTATCTTACTGCATAACTTGGAACTGAGCCAGAACTTTGTGTTAGCTTTCCATATAGAGCTTTTGCTTCTCTGAGTCAAGGGCAGTTGTTGGTGCTTTTAACTAACAAGTCTGTACTTGATTTATTTCTAGTGTGATCAGAACAGCTGTCGTAAAGAATTTTTTTTTCAGGAAGTAAAGCTACTATGAAGCAAAAAAGAAAACATACTAGGTACCTCCCTATACTTTTTCGTAGTGTAGGTACAAAAAGTTGAATTTGTCTTTTGTTTTCCATCGCAGACAAAGAGTGCACAAATGTGATCTAACATTCTCCTTATCTCTTCAGTTGTGAGATTTTTTTTTGGGGAAAAAAAAGGTATTCTATTTAAATGAAGATCAGGATTTGCTTTTTTTTCAGACATCACCAACTTGGAGAGGTAAAAAAGCTACAAATTTGAAACTTCTCTTGCCTACGAAGCTGATACTTCATGAGCCACTTCATTTCATGAGCCAATACATTATCTCTCAATTTCCAAATACTGATGTGGACAAGCAAAGGGCTACATATGTCATTTATCTGGACTTCTTTAAAACCTTTGACATGGTCCCCCACAATATCCTTCTTGCTAAGTTGGAGAGAGATGGATTTGATTGGTAGACTGTTAGATGGGTAAGAAATTGATGGCATCCAGAGGGTAGTGGTCACCAGCTCAGAGTCCCAATGGATATCAGCACAGGCTGGGGGAAGGAGGGATTGAGAGCAGCCCTGCCACGAAAGAGTTGGAGATGCTGGTGGATGAGAGGCTGGACGTGAGCTAGCTGTGTGCACTTGTAGCCCAGAAAGCCAGTTGTATCCTGGGCTGCATCAAAAGCAGCATGGCCAGCAGGGTGAGGGAGGGGCCTTTTTACTCTGCTTTGGTGAGACCCCACCTGGAACACTCTGGGGTCCTGCTCTGAGGTCCTCAGCACAGGAAGGACATTGATCTGTTGGAGCAAGTCCAGAGGAGATCACCAAGCTGATTAAAGGGATGGAGCACCTCTCCTGTGAGGACAGGCTGAGGGAATTGGGATTGTCCAGCCTGGAGAAGAGAAGGCTCCCAGGTGACCTAAATGCAGCCTTCAAGTACCTGAAAGGATCCTACAAGAAAGCTGGAGAGGGACTTTTTACAAGGGCACGTAGTTATAAGACAAGGGGGAATGGCTTCAAACTGAGAGTATATTTAGATTAGATATTAGGAAGAAATTCTTTACCATGAGGGCGATGAGGCACTGCAACAGGTTGCCCAGAGACGTTGTGGATGTCCCATCCCTGGAAGTGCTCACAGTCAGGTTGGATGGGGTTTTGAGCAACCTGGTCTAATGAAAGGTGTCTCTGCTCATGGCAGACGCAGTCAGATGATCTCTAAGGTACCTCCCAACCCAAACCAGTCTTTGATTCTATGATATCATTCATCTCTCCTGCCTGTTCAGGTCCCTCTGGATAAAAGTGTAATGACTGTTCCCCCAGCCTGGTGTCACGTTCAAACCTGCTCTCCATCATCTTCTTTATGTTCTTGATAAAGGTGCTCAATGCAACAGGTCCCAGCAGAGACTCCTGTAGTACTCCTCCTATTATGGGCCTCCAGGTGGAGTTCAAGTGTGACCCACTAACCCCTACCTGCTGTGCTCAACCATCTAACCAGTTTTTTACCCATATAGTTGTCCAACCATGCTGGACCATAACATTCTGGTTTGGGTACATGCGTATTGTGGGAGACCAAATCACAAACCTTGCTCAAGTCAAGGTTCCACTGGTGTCCCCTCCTACACAGATTTATCCATTTGTCATGGAAAGCAATCAGGTTGGTCAGGCAGCACTGTCTGCTGGCAAATCCATTACTGGCTCCTCCTCATCATCTTCTCCTCCCTGTGCCCAGAAATGTTCCAAGAGGCCTTGCACTATGACCTTTACAAAGACCAAAGCAAGGCTGAGTTTGTGGAAGATGGGACCTACCATTAAGGGCTTTGGCTCATTCATTTTGAAGGTGGCAAACACCTTCAAAGGTTTCACACTGCTTCCCTCTTCCCTATTGTCTTGTATATCTGGGACTTGATAAATCTCTAAAGTATCTTGGGTATGTTTTCTAAATCATGTTTTTAGGAGCAATTAGAAATATTTCAAAGCTTTTGTGTCTAATTGCTCACTCATTCTCCAACCATAAAAGGTCATGTTATGCTTTTTTTGGTCACTTGAGTTGTTTCTATTGTTTCTCCTTGAGAAGGTCAAATCCTCCTGATCATAAATACATTCATGTTAACAACGTGGGAAGGAGATGTAAAATAAGAGTAGGAGAAATTAGAAGAAGTTTTAGAAGGACTTCACTGCTGGTCTACAGGACAGCAGGATGGTTTATTACACCTTTCACCAAAATACAAATAAATCAGGGCCTAGAATGAAAAATTTAACTACTCTTTTCTTGCCTTCATGGCTTAATGAATGTATCTGGATGTGTTTCAGATTGTCAAAAGAGATTGTCAAAAGCTGAGATCAAGGACCCAGTCTGACAAGCAGAGACGTGGACAGCATACATCTATATACACAAAATCCAAAGGCATAGCCTCCTTTTTTGTCCCAACCTACTCTAGCTGTCTAATGTAATAACATTCAAAGAAACAAGCATTCTGGACACTAGCAACAGAGAAACACCCGGGCCTGTAAATGCTTTCCAAACTAGCAACAAGAAGTGAACATAAAGGACAAAACCCCCTATGTTTCAGAGGAAGGAGACTGCTCACCAGAACCCCTTATGTCTTTTCATAAAGGCAGAGATGTTGAGTTTAGAAGGCAAATCCTATGGCAAATCATCTTCTCCCAGTGTAGCATCAGAAATCCTGAGGTGGAGCTTTGTGTGCTCTAAAACAGTACGAGGATGGGGTAGCAAAACTCTCCAGTCTAATGTTGTGGTAAGACACTGGAGGTCTCACCTCTGAGTCCAGAGGAGAGCAACGAAGGGTTTGGAGCACAAGTCTCATGAGGAGCAGCTGAGGGAGCTGGGGTTGCTTAGCCTGGAGAAAGGGAGGTTCGGGGGGTACCTTTCACTCACTGCAACTACGTGAAAGGAGGTGGGGATGGGCCTCTTCTCCCAGGCAATTAGCGACAGCCTCAAGCTGTGCCAGGGCAGTCTGAGTTCGGACACTAAGAGGAATTTCTTCACAGAAAGGGTGGCCAGACTGCGGAACGGGCTGCCCGGGCAGGCGGCGCCCGAGCAGAGCGGACGCGGCCCTGAGCGCTGGCCGCCAGGGGGCAGCGCGGCGCCGCGCCGCCCGGGCGCTGCGCGGCCCCGCCCCCGCCGCCCCCGCGAGGCGGCGGCGGCGGAAGCGCGGGCACTGCGCCGGTGGCCGCGCGAGCGGCGGGCTGGGCGGGCGGCTGGGGATGGCGGAATGGGGGCGCGCTCGCTGCGCGCGGCGGGGGCAGCCCGCCTCCAGCCCGGTGCTGGGCGGGCGGGGGCCGCGCCGCGGCGGGGCAGCAGCCCGCCGGGCCACGGGTTCCGCAGGGTTACCCTGACCAAGCCCACCTTCTGCCACTACTGCACCGACTTCATCTGGGGGCTGGCCGGCTACCAGTGCGAGGGTAAGGGGCTGCCGGAGAGCCGCGGGGGTCGGGCGGGACGGCTGGGACGCGTCCGGGCCAGGTTGGGGGGGAGGAAAAAAAAAAATGACTAAAAATACTGCTAATGAAAACTCTTAATAGCAATGACTAACAACAAACTGTATAACGCTAAAATATACTAACAAAGCATGATAATTAAAACCAATCCAAAAATGTAATACTAAAATGCAGGGCTGAAATATAATATTGAAATATGTTAATAAAATATGGTGCCAAAATACTATCCAAAATATAATAATGAAAACAATACATTCTACGGAAAAATTTCTAACAGGAGTAATAAAAATTTTAATAGTAATAGTAGTAAATCGCAGAAATCAAGTCCAGAAACAACAATACTGAAAATTCTACTCCTGTTTGCAAGTGATGAGAATTAGTAAGTCTAGCAATAATAATTTTAATAATTATAATAAATAACTACAACCCTGGTAATGATGATAATAAAAGTTCTAACAACAATAATAATAAAAAGTCGGAGGTGTGGCACTGCTCACTCCTTTGTGGTGACCTCGGGTGTTTGCCATGGTCCAGCAGTGCCACGGCCCATCCTGGGGGTGGACCCACTGTGAGCCACCAGCCACCTCAGCAGTTCACAGTGGATCCATCCCAGGCGTGCCCCTAGCTGCAGAAATGCCTGATGGCATGGAGGAGCTGAGACCAGTGTGGAGTTTGAACCTTTTAAACCTCGTCTGACGCCAGGGAGGGGAGAAGGAATCACTAGCTCTCCTTGTCCGCCTGCATGACCTCAGCTGAGGTTCTTGAAGGTGACGAAATCGTGGCTCGTTCTGATGCAGCGAAATCAAGTGGTGTCATAGGGACAAGAGGGGATCTCTGTGTCCCTCTTTAAAGAAAAACAAAAAACCAAACCAAACCAACCAAACAAAAAAAGACCCAAACAAAACCAAAACGGCACCCTCATGTGTTCATGAGCCTATGCAGCCCAGCCAGCTTGGGTTGCAGCTCCAAAACCACATCTGAAAGAGTGGGGTTGTACAAGAGCCTCATTGTTTGGGTGGGTATCACACAAGGCTGTAGGTGTAGAACAAGTACCTTGCAGTTCCTGATATATCTCCTGCCTTTGTCATTGCTGTGGGTAAAGAGGGTGCGCAGTTAAGTTGCGTGGAAGTAGTTTCTGTGTGGTGCAAAGCAAGTCCTGGAAGAATGGTTTAATATTCGCTTAAAACTTTTCCAAGGGATGTGTTGTTCTGACTGCATAGCAGAAAGTCACTGCTTACCCTAATTAGCCAAAAAGCCCCAAACTCAAGTGAAAATTTCTTACATTGGGGAAATGCACAAAGCCGGTCTTCTGTGGTCTCTTATTCTATCACTGACTTTAAAAAAAATGGAGTTAAAAAAGTGGGCATTCAGGTGTCACTTTTGTCACTTGAAGAACCGAATGGTTTTGGTAATGGTAACAGATAGAAAAATGTGAAAGTCATTTGCCCAGGATGTCTCACTTTTTTTTCCATTCACGCATTATATACTAAAAGGTGGTGCACAGCTGCAAATTGAATTTACGGGTTTTTTCCTAGTTTGAAAACTGCACTGATAGTTTGTATCTTGGAATTGTTTTTCCCCTTTGGCTTTTCAGGCAGAATTCTGGACAAGGATCACTAGCATCACTGTCTAATGACCATGTGTTGATGAGGCACTTCCAAGTTGCACTGTTGATATAAGTATTTTAAGCCCTCGTCTGAAAACTCCACCCCAAACAAGTCGCCTGTGTGAGGAAATACTCTTAGTTTTCATTAGCTGTAACATTCCTTGCTCAGAGCACGTGAGAAAACCCTATAATGCCACGTGGCACATCAGTGTTTCCTTTGGGTGAAGAACCGACTCATTTGTCTGTTTTCACCCAGCTATTCTTAGTGTTATGTTTGTCCTTCAAACAACTTACTTCTAAACAACAACTTTAAAAAATACCTGGTGGGTCATTTGCTCAAGGTGGCTGCTTTTGACAAGTTACTTAATAAGTGCTAATATGATTTCTTGGATGATTTTAAGTAAATTCTGTTTAATGGTTACCTCCTTGTCATGTTTACCGGAACCAATGGAGTTTGATCATTACTCTTTAGAAAGTGATTAAAGGGTGATCTCTCAGAGTGCTATGCTGCTAAAAAAAAATTAAATAACTCACCCAGCTATTAGCAAAGAAGACATTTGCTATAGACTTGAAAAACTCAGTAGACAATTGCTATCTCCTTTTTCTTCTCCACAGAGAGTTTAGGGTTGGAAGTGTAATTGCATCTGAACTGATGTTTGGATTCCCTTTGATAAACCATCCACAGGCTTCAAAATTAAGCCATTGAGGGGCCTTTTTCTCAGTGAATTTAAAATGGTTGCTGTTCCAAATCCTTGGGTTCAGATGTTCAGTCTCCTGATGCTGTTTATGTTGATGTTCACTTAAGTTGGTCGTCTTCAAAACAGAAAGTTTTCAAACTGTGAAGCAGACCAAGCATGCTGATGAGGAGACTCCATCAGTTATAGAAAGGAGAAAAACAATCCACACACACAAAAACAAACAAACAAACAAAAACCCCAATCCCTCTTAGCTGTTATTATTTTGAGTATTTATGTGGCCTAAGTGACCTGGATTTGAGTTTTAATTGTGATTGACCCTTGGAAATGTGAATATATATGTGTGTGTGTGTGTGTGTGTGTGAGAATTACCAAGTCTGTGGAGTTTTTCAGTATATGTGTCAACTACTCAGCAGACTGGCATATGCCCACGTGGCTTACATAGCTGCGTAGCAGAAATACAAGTAAATAAAATGATTTCTCAGAACACTTCTGACGATGCAGGCCAAGATAAGTGGTCTTTTCTTCTTGTGAACTCGGAAAGATACGCAGAAGAGATGCTCTGATGCTCTCTGTGCAAGGCACAAAGTGTCCTGCATCTCACTTTTTTTTAGATATAAGATACTGCTTCCCTCTCCAGTTCAAGGCCAGAACCACTGTTGCCAGCACTTTGTAAGGGATTGAAGGTACTCCAGGGGACAATTGCAGCTCCCTTGCTAGATCAACAAGATGTTTTTACAAGTGAAATTTTACAGGGAAGGCAGTAGTTTTGCTGTGTGGATTATGTGTCCAGTTGGGTCTGAAGATTTTACAGTATTAAACTTCTGTGCACGTACTTATTGTAATATCAGCCAACTAGATTTGCATCTGTGGTTCATTTTCACACCCTCCTCTACCCCACAAATTTGTTTTCTGTAAACCCTCTGTAAATGACTACATTTCTTACCACGTTACTATTTGTAGCTGTGACTTCCTTTGTTAAGTGTGTGCACGTGTGAAAGAATAAGTGATGCTTGAATTGTAACATGAAAAATTGCTCTCTTATATTGCCTTTGCTTTCCAAAGTCAGGTCATTTCAGGTTAGAGTGGGTTTAATTTTCCTCAAACCTGGCAAGGAAAAGGCAGTGTAAGTGGCTAGGGTTTGTGCATGTGTGTGTGCATCTTAAAAATGAAAAATATTAAATATATGAAGTCTGTATAAGAAGTAAAGAGAGCTCTCATTGGTAGTTTGCAGAAGAACCAATTTCATACACTAAAAGATAGCTAGCAGATATTTAATTTGGAGTTTGGGTTTACTTTTAGCCATCAATAAAAGCACTTTTCACAGTTATTTTATTTTACATAAAACACTTAAAGAATAAAAAAGTAGGAAGAATTGTGAATCTGTACATTTTGAAGGCTGCAGATAGTTCCAGTACTATAGAACTTTCTAATGTGAAAATGTTTCTGTTTGGTTTATTTTAGCCAAAGGTAAAATGTAAGGGATTTAAGTAATAAGCAACTTTGTTTGCAAATTTAACAATTGTTTAAGCATTTTTATGTTCTTTGTATCTATATATATTTAATAAGGACATTTATGGGAAGCTGCTGTCATGGACTTTCGGTATGTTTTGTGTCTTTTTCTACTAGGGAAATGTCACTTAAGCAGGTAGGGTGCTTGTCTTGATATGAAAGCTCTAAGTCAAATAATACTTTGGGAAGCAGCATCCTTGTTTTCTGTTTATGTATTTATTTTTTGAGGTTTTGGGCATTTTGAAATTATTTTTATTTTTAGGCTTTGTATTCAAAGCAGAACCTCCAAATATATTCCAAGATACATAAATCTTTGTTTCTCCTAATCTGATTTAGATGTTGGCTGGCAACAGTGCAGCTTTTCCAGAACGAAATGTAAATGGTGAATCTGAGTTATATTTGTGCCATAAATCTCTGATTTGGCAAGACAGACTTAAAGCTGCTGTGATTCGTACAGGCATGTCCCAGATATGGGCAAACCATGTTGTTCCTTGCTGGTGTAGGAGAGTCTGGAGATGTTCAGACAACATCTCTGCAGCGGTCTGCAGGTGCATATTCTGGGCATGTTTTGAGTGCAGTCTACTATATTTAAAGGCTGTTCTAAGAAATTAGATAGGGAAGGTGTGTTTTCGTTTAAGGCTGGGAGTCAGATGAACAGGGAGTTTGTTGAGATACGGAAATAGTAGCAGAGAATAAGGGGGCAAGGAGCAATCCCCTTGAACTCTCATCCTTTCTAGTTAGTTCTATTGTTGAGACAGACATCTGAAACATATTTGACCCTGCAGGTTTCATTCAGCTTTGTTTTGAAGGGAAGTGAGCAATGTATGAGATTCCTGCAAAAGTCTTAATGCTTGCAGTTCAAAAGGAAGACAAACTCTTTCCTTCTTGTGACGAGCTTGCCTTGCTTTTGAAGCATTTTCAACTAAATATAAAAGCTGCAAGCAGGTAAAACCATAGTAAAATATTGCTTCTATCCTCCAACCAGTTTGAATTTTCAAGATTTGCTGGCTTTATTCTGGTTTCCGTGTCAGTGGTGGGTCCTTTCCATGCAACAGTAAGATGATTGATGTTGAGATGCAGTTTGAGTTTGTGGTTGAGATACTGTTGAGTGGATGTGACTTTGCTGCATTTAAAACGTAGATGAAGCCATA